CAGATGGATATTGATCAGTAGAGAATTTAACAATGAATATATTTTTTCTTCAGTAGCTCATTTTTAGTACATTTGTTTTTAAAACAGGTGACCAATAGAAATTCGCCAGGTATCAAACTAACACAGCTGACTTTGGAGATCCTCCTTTAAATAATTTTCCAAACAAACCAATAACATCCGCAGAGAATAGATGTTAATGTGTGTAAAATTCACTGTTATCTCTACACAATTTACAAAAAATAACAAATGAGAGAATGAAATCAGTGGGGCTTCAGAGAGGAAGAGAAACCACTGCCTGCAGCATGAAATTCAAACAACCTCTCCCATGAAAACAAGGACTGGATCCAGGCTAGCCTTTCCTCAACAGCTGCTGAGTTTGTGCACGTACCTGTCTACATGTACACACAGAAACACACACACACACACACACACACACACACACACACACACACATTCAGGTGGTTTCTTAAGTTTGTACTGAGGAATTTAATCTGCAGTGTGTGTGAATGCTGCCTCTGTTCTAGTGCATGAGGTTGCACGGCTACAAGGTTGCAGAGGTGGGAAAACCTCTAACTGTTATTTCTCTTTTATTTCACCGGAAGCGGGGTTTAATATGATCAGCTCTCTGTGTGAAAAATGTGTCTTTGATATGCGTTTGTATGTGTGTGTGTGTGTGTGTGTGTGTGTGTGTCCTCTCTCTCAGCGGTGTGTTGGCTGCAGTGCCAGAACGGAGGTGTGTGTCAGCGGCCCAACACCTGCTCCTGTCCAGAGGGCTGGATGGGCCGACTTTGTGAGGAGCGTAAGTATTTAATCGCCAAATATCGCTCAGTTGAACTCTGTTGACACTGAATTAACTCCCAGAACATAATCCTAAAGGTGTACTCAAACTCAAACAAACACTCACTAACACATGAGAATCCAACCAGCTTGCTAAGCAGGTTTTAGCGGACAATGGAGCACAAAGAGGGTCCAGAGATAATAGAGTGAAAAGCATTGAGAGAGTTATTGTCATTCATTCTCTGCACTCTAACAAAACACTGTCCAACAGTTTATAGACATTTTGTCTAGACACAGAAGTTAAAGAAACAATAATTCAAGAATCAAGAATTTAAACACAAGATTGGAAACTGCTCTCAAATTGACTGAAACGCCTTTAAATACTCTGATTCAACGCTAAACTAAGATGGCGAACATGGTTCTAACCTTACACCTACTTAACATCAGCATATTAGTGTTGTCATGAGCATGTTAGCACAGATGGACAGCCTCAAGGAGCTGCTAGTATGGGTGTAGACTCACTCACGACTTAGTCTAGTTGAACTCAAAAGCCAGAGTCAATACAGGGATGAATGTGTCTTTAATAATAAACTTACATATTAAACACTTGGCCTAAGACTTTATTGTAATCTTAAATGGTCTTAAATAGTGAATAGTTAAATGAAAAAAAATGTTGATTTAAATGCTGAACATTCATTGATTCCAGCTTCTCAAATGGGAGGATTTGCTGTTTTTCTTTGTTTTATATTATTGTAAATTTAATATCGTAAGTTTTTGACTCTCTGTTGGTTAAAACAAGCAATCTGAAAACATTAATTTCCTGACATCTAATAGACCAAACAATCAATTTATTCAAAAAATATACATCCTAATTGTTTTACTTTACTGCACATTCTTGTATTTACACTGAAATCTACAGACTGGGGCTTTAAAATACAACTATTGAAGTGACTTCCCTCTTTACGCAGTCACATGGTTGCATAAAGACTTTACAACAGTACTCATCCCAAGCTGAATCAAATGAGATTTCAACAAAGAGAGACGAGACTGATGACCTTAAATGATTTCCTGTTTACTCTCCTCTTTAATAACAGCTATCTGCATCCTGCCGTGCCTCAATGGAGGCCGTTGCGTGGCGCCCTACCAGTGCGAGTGTCCCAGTGGGTGGACGGGCACACGCTGTCACAGTGGTGAGTTCATGTGCGAGTCAGTGAAGCTGTTCACCTACTGTGTGCATTAATAGCACAGTGACACAGGGTGATAATGACAGTGACATAAAGGGAATCCTTACTCTCAATATGCTCTCCCATAACGACGCCACTGAGGGTTGTGTGACGCCATTGTTTGTCTTCTTTATGAGTTGTTAGTAAATAACAATGGAGCATAATGACGTCCTGCATGATTGCTTTACTAAAATGAATATACTTTTAATACACTGCCTGCTTATGAAGTATTATCAATAACATTGTAATCATATTCTTTTTAGGGTGACAGTGTAACACCTGTTACAATAGTATTTTGACATTTACAGCAATGTTTGTTAATGTGCAGAATAAAAAAAGAATAGACATTGTTTTGGCTGCCGAAGTGAAAAATTTTACTCACTAAAACAGAAACTGCACAAGAAAATTCAACACATAAAAACAAATATGGTTGGAATACAAACCAAACAGTAGTGTTTTATTTGGCAATGTTTTTGTGTGTTTGAGAAAGACTGGAAACATGACGCTTATGTTGCTCACATAGTTTTTATAAATGTATGATTTGTCTTTCAAAGCATTTAATGATCATATGGACAAATATGATTATCTTCAGCCACTCGGTTTTTATCAATGAGTGTTAATGACCGTTAATCAAAAGATGGCATCAAGGAGAAAAGAGTAAGTGAGCACTTAACCATCTGTCTGTCATGGCAGTGTGTTACAGGACACTGAGCAGGAGATGAGGCGGCACTCATTCAAAGGGTAGTTCCACCAAAATAGTTGTTCCAAATATACTTTGTTTAGTAGTGGTACCTACATTGTAAACATTTAATTTTTTTTCTGTAAACGAAATAAATCTCTTTAGAATTTGAAATATATGTTGATGGGAGATGATGAGAGGCCGCATATTTCCTCCTTCTTGGGACAACCTCTCTTCCTCGCGCAGACAAGCCTGTACTCACCGTAATGACGGCTGGGCTGCATTTCATGTGTGTTGTCTGTCTGTCTGTCTGTCTGTCTGTCCGTCCACAGCGGTGTGTTCATCACCTTGTCTGAACGGAGGCAGATGCATCAGGCCGAACAGATGTCACTGCAGTCCAGGCTGGAGTGGACACGACTGCTCCAGGTGACAACACAGGCAGCAAAAAAAGTTCTTTAAAAAGGCAAAAGTTTCCTTTGATTGTTTATTTTTTTTAGATATTTAGATAAACAGATGGAATTCTAAAACTTAAAAATAATAGTTTTAATAATAATTACAGTGACAAACATTAGCATAAGGTCACGAGTGATAAATGGACTGCTAGAGTAAAAATTTTTTAATTATTAGTATATAAATTGCATAGTTTATCTGTTTAAAAAACAAGTTCTGTACATTTGCATTTTTTTAACACTTTAAATATCCTGTTACTTTTATGTATTCATTAGATATTCAAACATTTATGGGATGTATTTCTGTTTGTTTTCCATCTTGCGTACTGCGGTCACACAGGACGAGCCCTCTGCTCCCACTCTTCTTTCATTCACTATCCAAACTGTGGGTGAATACAAACCGATGCTTGAACGAAGCAAATGAGCTTCATGAGAAGTCCCACGGTTTAATGAGTCATCCGCTGTCAGCCGTTTTATCACAAAGGGATGAATCTATTAAGCTCTTTGCTCAGAATGATTCCAGGCATTACAGTAAACCTTGTTATTTAGCACTATAAATTACTAGTGATGTATTTTACGTTCCTCTCCATGTTGTTGTTGGTCATTGTGCCAAGATATGTTCAGTGTAACCATGAGAACGTTCTGTGCAGTCACCAATCTTACGGGAGGAAATAACTAAGATGCAAATTTCCCCCTGAGAGCACCAGACATTTCATATCAGGTTTATTTTCCTACACTTGATAACTTCCACTAAAAGACGGAGAGAGATGGCGAATCAAATGCTGTGTTAGTATCCCGGTTATGATCAGGCTGTGTGTCTGGGCCTGTTAGCATCGTATCCTGCTCTCAGAAACCTGGATAAACTCTTATTCTATTATATTAATCTATATATTCTTGGTATTCTCTCTTAGTGAAACCAAGATACTGCCGTTTGTAAACACATGCCTGCCTTGTGCATCATCAGCTTAAGTTACATACAGTTCAGCTAGTGTAATAGAAATATGATCACGCGTAATGAAGCTCTACGGTAAATGCTGCAATCAAAGTGAAACTTTGACTCCTAAATGCGGAGGATGAGCACTGTTGGCTGTTAATGGTGTTGATAAAATAGGTTCAGAGTTCGTAGGTTCAGCATTCAGGCAGCCATAAACCAGACTGTCAACACCCGGATATGATTAAACCATACAAACACATACGGCGGTTTTCCTTCAGTTATGAGTCATCTTAACTTAGAAAACACGCATATTTCTGAGAATGGGGAAAAAAAAAAAAAAAAAGTGGCATTATGAAATAAATGATGAATTATCAGACAAATATAACCTCAGTAATGAAGTCTAATTTAACTCCTCATGGGTTCTTGCACTTTTATCATATTTAGTGAATCTTTTTTTTGTAAAAAGGTTATAAAAGAGCCACAGATTAAGACTAAATACCATTTCTCCTTCCTTCTCTTTGCAGGAAAAGGAAATCAGGATACTATCACTTCTAAAAAAAAGGTTCCACTCAGCTCCATGTGAATCGTCTTATGAAGGGAATTCTTGTATAGTTAACTGACACACTTGTAAACCATTCATTCTCATCTCTCTGCAAAAGGCAAAGCAAGAACCATTTTGTAAAATAAAGCTGTATTTTTTCATATAGAGACTCAACAGTATTAAACATATGCTGCTATATACTTGTACGATGTGTAAAAACTATTGATGTGATTGTTCAATGTATATGTGTAAACTATTCTCACATTTTTATTAAAGCATAAAATACCATTAACTGCTCTCTTGATCAGATTCTTTGCTCTAGCAGGAAGTCGTCTGTATCAAAGTCAGTTCCCGTCGTGCTCGATCAATTCAAATGTGAATCAGAAGAGAACAAAAGTTCCTGTAGCTCATCTTCATTTATTAAATCCACAATGTTGTACACATAATGTAACAAAGAAAGTTAGTCGGGAGCAAAGCCAATTCCTCATATAAAACAGAATTAAAAAGTAGTTATCAGGTTTTAGGTAAACTCTAGTCTGTTGTTACAACAGTCACTACACACATTGAACTGACAGGACTACAGTATGTCACCAATTACATGAGTGGAATGAGTTATTGTCTGTGTGGAACAGAAGACCTGATAGTTACTGTACAGAAAATGAAACTGGGATTTCTTAGCACAGCATGTACAGAGGGCAGCGGTGGCTACGGTGGTTCTTATGTTCTGAAAGCTTCCAGTTTTTCCAACAGCGTAGTTGTGTTTGCACCAGAGAACTCGAACACCTGAAAGACACAACAGACAGAGGGTTAAAACTTTAATAAAAACTAAATAAATGCCAATGATACAAAGTCTATTTATATATGGATCAAATGGCTGTGAACTACAATTGATAGCAGGATTAGAAATTCCTCAAGTATCAAGTATTTGTGTCTCTGCAACTACTCTGACAAAGGGTTTAACCTGAGCCAGGCCATACAACAGCAATCATACAGGCTTAATATACACTCTGAACTCTTTTTAAACTTTTACTCGTTACCTCTTTCAGTTAAGTTACAGCTCACAAACTCCACTCTCGTGAAGACTCACAAGTTTGTCCTAAACCTCTTAAACCCCCCCGGTTTGCTTGTACAAGTGCTGTGAGTCAGATTCACCAGAAACTGTTAACTGTTTGTTGTGATAGTCAACACCCCCTTAATTTTCCACGACACTGTAAAGGGAGGCTGCAGCACCTCCTAAAACCAGATCTTAGAAAAACATTTTTTTTTTAAATAGCCTGTATTCTGGTAAAGGGGGAAACCACAGATCACACAAATATTTGCTTTGCTGTCTGCTTAATAAGTCCATTATTTTTCAAGTGCCCCACTGACTCCAAGCAACAGACATCAGGGCACCGATCATCAGCGCTCAGAAGGTAAATGCCATTACTGCCACGGCACAGTGACACTTGGCGGCAGTTTGTAAGTGAGATTTGGTTACACAGTTCACTTTTCCTCCAGCTCTGTTTCCCTTTATTGTACAGAGAGGGGAGAAAGAGAGGAGGTGACACGCTCCAAAGTGCTGTGGGCTATACTCGAACCCCGGCCGCTGCAGGAAGCTCTAGCAGGTGTGCTACCAGGGCGCACTGATTTGGTTATAGCTCTTAAACTGATCTGGCTGCTACAGCGCGCTCCAACGTATGGAGCTTTAGTCAACGTTTTAACCAGAAGAGGGACAGCGTGTGGTGGAAAAGGTCCAATGTGGGTTGAATGCACATTTTATAAACTATGATATTCTGGTCCTGGGGCACCAAAAACATGACTACATAAATGCAAATATTGCTCAGACATTACAACTTTATAATAATATGTACATGTTTCTATATTAGCTGTATATGTTCATGCAATGCTTACCTTCTCTCCATTCTTGTAAAAGTGGAATGTGGGCATGCAACTTATATTGCAGAATGAACTCACATCCTGAAAAAAAAAAAAAAAGAGCAAAGAGAACAACAGTGAGATGGACAGAGTCAAAAACAACACTCCTGTCTGATTACTGATGTCAGATATTTACAATATTAAATTAAGACAGAAATGTCGGTAGCTTAGCCTCTCCTCAAGGAAGCAGTACAGCAAAATCAACAGGCGTTGCCAGCTTTTACACATTAGATTATGTAACTGCACGTGCACCAATCACTAGTGGAGTTTTACCAGACTTACCAGACCAGACGCCTACAAATGTATCCAGGTAATTCTGTAAACATGTTGTTTGAACAGCTCCAAGTAGCCTGATTTTAGCTCCAAAGTATTTTAACTGAACTGGTTCAGAATAACTTTAAAGGGTAGATTATGACTGGGTTTTTAAAAGGGTGACTTGTTTGGGATGTACAGGTGTAGTGGGAGGTATAATGCTCATCGTCTCTCCCTGAGAATCAAGAGGGGGGTTAGGTTCTGTTAGCTTACAGATTCGATATACTGCGCAGGTGGTGCCCACTATGTAACATAGTCCTATATCACAAATGGTGGTGTCGAGGTTACCCATGTTGGTTACAAACATGTCAGTGTCTCTTTTGTTGTTTATGTTAAAAGGCTCACGGGTTTTTTAGATTTTTTCAATCCCGTTTTAAATCAGCAAGGTTCTCTTTTCCAATGTTGGAGACTTAGCGACCTGCCTTTGGTAATGAGCGCTGGTGGTTTCCATTGCTTTCAGTAATTATACTTGGTACCCTAACCAGAGTCTGCGGAATTCGTGTGTGAACCACGTTAAGTTCCTGTACGTTGGGATGGTTGTGTGTTTTGGATCTTTGATTGCGCAGTTGGTAGTTAAAAACTTTTAATGGAGAAACAACCACTTGCCTGCCCTATCCGTACTTCGGAATACGTTTTTGTTTCTAGGCTTTGAGCTGTTCTGCAAGGAACGGTTATCATGAGCACCGGGTTATGCAGGATGTACAATATTTCTTTGTTCCTCTTTAAAACGACAGGGAGCATCTGCTGTTTTTATCAAGTTATGTCAGTTTTCAAAGTCAGCCTATTCTGGGTTTGAGTTGGAACGGTCTTGACGGGAGTTCCGAGCAAAGCCTCGTTCACAGATTATACGTGCCTGCCGGGAACAGGCCTCCCTCGGCAAGGACTCCCTTAAAATCCAGACGACTGGAGGCTGACTGTGGGGTACTCTTCAATTTGAAAAAGGTTTTGCTTTTTTTTTTTGTTTTGTTCGTTTGGAAAAGTTTTTCTGTGGCATCGTCAGTGTCGTTTCTTCTTGTTCTACAGACATATAATATATATGGTTTCCTTTTCAATCTGATGATCCTTTCTTACTCGCCAATATGGGGCTTCATGTTTACAGGGGCCGTCGCGTGTGAAAGTCCCACCGTTGTTCGGTTCCTTCAGGAGTGGCTTGAAAGTATCTGACAGAAGAAACAGATGTGTTATTACCGGTTTCGATTAAGCGGTTCATTTGGGAAAGTGCTTTGTTTGGAGACGCAGTTAGTTTTAATTAATGCTACAGTTTA